TATTAATTTTGTTGACTTACAATAATCACTAAACAATGTCATAAAAATAAGACTATGGAGAAACATTCTAGTAAATTGCATCTCCCACGGAAAATATTTGAGACTCCTTTTGGGATGACTCCCACATCCCTAAAGTGATCTTAATTCTTCATATATGTGTAAGATTTATATCATAAATAGTCTAAATTTATAAAAAAATCTTATAAGAGTCTTGTAGGAGTGAGATCGCAATTATTGTTCTATCTCCCACTCCGTAATCAACTTTACATATTTCTATGCAAGACTATTTACCAAGACAGAAAAGGAGTAAAAGCACTAATTAGTGTCACCACTAATGATATGACAATAGATCCCACCCATTGTCACAATATTATTGTGTCTGTGTTTTTTTTTTAAAAAAAATAAATGTCACATCATTAGTGTTGCTTTAGAACAACACTGTTAATGGCCTCTAGCATGACCCTTATCAAGACAAATGCTAAGGACTGTCCCCAGGAATTGTTAACATTGGGATTGATGTAGAAGTATTTTGAAAGTAAAATTTCGTTTGATTTTAGATTTTTGACTTAAAAAAGTAAGAAAGGAAAAAATTAGTTACATAAATTAATAAGATAAAATATTATATTTAAATTATAATTATTATATTTTTTCTCTCATAAAAATTAAAAAAATTAAACCAAACAAAGCTAAAAAAACTAAATTAAAAAAGTCTCAACACAAAAAAAACAATACTAAATGAAGACTAAGTAAAAATATTAAAAATTATATTAATTTCAATAAAGTGTGCATCGAATGCAGTGAAAAACATCTCGTATTCTTTAATATTTTTGTTAATTTCTTCTGCCAAGAGTACTTCTTACTAAAATTTGATACATTTTCCCATAGAAGAAAGTGTACCACTCAACTTGATTATATTCTAGAAAATTATGAATTGCCATTTTCCAACACACAAAAGGGATATGTTTCTTGCCAAGATAAAATCGCCTTTATTTTATTTTAATTTTCTGAATATCATTTTTTAAAAATTGAGTTTTTTATTTTTCGTATTTTTTTTTGGTGAATTTTTTTTAATATTTTAAGCAAATTTTTACTTTTTAATAGGGCTACAAACGAGTTAAGTTTGGATTTGTTTATTAAGATTTTAATGAGGTCGAGTTCGAGGTCAAGCTCGATAAAAATTTAATAAACCGAGTTTGAGTTGAGTTGGCTTAGGCTTGATTAGAGCTCGAGTCTGCACACGAGCCAAACAAATTATAAATTCATACTTGCGTATGAGATTAAAATTACAATTGAAACTTTGATTATATAATTATATATACAATATATATAAACATACTAAAAGAAAAATTAACATTTTATCAAAATAATAATATCTACTACAATTGTTATATAAATGTATTATCTATAGTTAGTTATTATTTATATATAAATAAATTTAGCTATTATTTACATTTACATTATTTAAATTTATAAATAACATATTTATCCTATATTTTTTTATACATATGTTTACATTATTTAATATATAATAATATATTTATTCTATTATTTAAATAAATATTAAACAAGCCGAACTAACTAACCGAGTTTTATTATGTTTTTACTTATTTATTGAGATTTTAACGAGTTCAAAAGTGGACTTATATATCATTTTCTGTGTGGAAGATATATAGTTTCATGCGCGAATGAAAATTTGACTTTATTGTGCAGTTTTGCAATGCATAAACTGAATTTTGTTTTGGGTAAATTACACTTTTTGACTTAAATTTCACTTCGATATTTATTTTTTAATTTGAACAATTTGATCCTTACATTTTCGGTTCACTTTCAATGTTTCCATCAAATTTCTTGTTAAATTTTTCTACCTATACACTTTACAGATTGATAAATATTTTAAAATTGTTAATTTTAACCTTTGACTTAAACATAAGGACCAACTAAAACTAGATTGAAAGTATAGAGATTAAATTATTAAATACAATAGAGATCAAAGAGTGAAATTTGAATCAAACAATAAGGATAAAAAGTGTAATTTACCCTTTTATTTTTCGCTGTCTTGTCCTCCTAGCTTGTTAACTTAAATCACAATAATTCTTTTTCGACTTTTAGATGGAGAAAGTAAGAGAATTCAATATGAAATACCTTTGTGATGTAGTGGAACGTGAAATAATAATAACGGTGTTTAGTTATCATGACTTTTCTAAGGGTTTAGTTTTAAAAGAGAGGTTATGGGTTCAACTCTATTTAAAAGAAAAATTGAATTAGGAGGCAAACTCTTAGGCTGCGTGTGAAGTGGAGTTCTAATCATGACTCCACACCCATATTTGAGTGTAGTGTTTGGATACAACTTTCAAAAATTAATTCCATACTCACTTTTGAAAAGTCGTTTCAAGTAAGGTTTTGAATTTTGAAATTTGGCCTACTTGGTTGTCCTCCCGGATGTCGGGGTGGTTGACCGGAACAGTGTTTTTTTTGGGAAATTGGCACCTGTTATTTTTTATATTTTGAAGAAAAAATATTTTCAAAATTTTTAAAATTTTTTAAATCTTTTTTGAGTTTTGAATAAAATTTTGGATTGTGTGTTTGGTTTTGAGTTGTAAATTTTTTAATTAAATATTATATGTCACATCAAAAATTTCAAACTCAATTCAAAACTCTTTTCAAAACTCATAACTAAATAAAATTTTCACACTTAAATCATAATTCCAAAACTTACAAACTTAAAATACAACTCTATTTTCAAATCATAATTCTAAAACACTACCAAATGCGACCTTAGTGTTTTGTAAGGATGGAAAGATTAACTTTCACAGGTGTTAATCTAACAATTAATAACTAACTTTCATAAGTGTTAATCTAACAATTAATAACTAACTTTTGTTGATAAAAATAAATAAATAAAATAAAATAAAAATAACAATCTTAGAATCCGTTCTCAAAAACTTAAGAGTCCTAAGACTTGTATCCATTATTTATAAGCAAAATAGACTTAATTTAGTAGGAAACAATAAGAATTGATAGTTTCATAATGAGCAATACTTATAAGGAAATATAACTAAAATTACCGAAAAGAAAATATTGAAATAAAATAAAGAAACTACTAATTTATGTTTTCAAGATAACCACATATTTGACGGAATCAGATTCTGAAGTCTCATTGAAGTTTCAAATCTTTTAAAACAAAGCAAATTTGCGAAATTGATTGCCGAAATGATGGAATTTGTCCAAAATTCGTATTCCGTCAATCGACCAAATTTTATGCAATTCTGAGTCCAACCCGCATTTTGCCTTTGTCTTATCTATCCATTCAATCCAAGAATTACATGACCATGCATGCATGCTCTATCACTTTGCATCTACTAGTTCATTACTGCATGGTATTAGCCAGACAAATTTCAAGATAAATTTTAGACAGTCTTTTAACCATCTTTTCTTTTTATTTTGACATTTGCAAACATGTTCAAATTGTGTAATAGCATTAAAGCACATAAAATAGTAAAGAACACGTGTATAAAGGGAGTACAGATCGTATAATTCATGGTAGTAGAGCCTTGTTAGGCTGGGAATCTGATGAGTTGATCAGGTTGGGTGATTTTTTGAATACTGCTGGGTATGGTCTGTTGGATCGGGTTGATAGGCTCCAGTGGGTGGCAAGTTCATCTGGTCAGTTTAGTGTTTCCTCCATTTATTCTCTGTTGGTCACCTCAGGTTCTGTTTAGTCACTAAGATACTCTGGAATAATTTATCTCCTCCAAAGGCTCAGTTTTTTTGGTTGGTTGGCATGGAAGGGGCGAATTAAGACTTCTTATTTTCTGCGAAGAATTGGGGTGCTGGGTCCTGGTGCTTCTGTGTCGTGTAAGTTTTGTCAAATGGAGGATGAGGTAGTGTCTCATTTATTGTTATGGTGTCCTTTTGCTTGGAGAGTCTGGTCTTGCGTGATGCATTGGTGGGGGTTCCGTTGGGTTATACCTCGGAATGTGGAGGATCTTCTTGGTTGGTGGGGTGGATTTAGGTGGGGTAAGTTCGCAAATTCGATTTGGCAGAGTATTCCACTGGCTGTAATATGGTCATTATGGAAACTTAGGAACGAGGTGGTGTTCAATGGTAAGCAAGTGCATCTGGAGGAAGTCTGTGACTTGATTAAGTTTAGAATTGCTGTTTGGGTAAAAGTTCATTTTTCAGGTTGTTTCTACACTGTGCATGAAATTGTTAATAATATTCAGCAGATTAGATGTTAGATTTAGCTTGTTAGGCTATGTTAATTCTAGGTTGTGAATATCTTGTTTCGCTTGTGCATGATTCTCTTGGTCTGGTGTGTGGTGTTGATCTATGTTGGTTATTGGGTGAGGATTATAGTTTGTGGCTAAATTGTGGGGGCAGTAACTTTTCTCAGATTGATGATATATGTGCTATTGAATGTACTGATTTGGGTGTTGATTAGGAGATAAAAAAAAAAAAAAATGCTGCTGATTTTCTCTGATGATTATTTCATCTCAGTTTGGTCTGTGGGTGATCAATGCTGGTGGTCGATGCTTTACTCTGTGGTGGTGATGATTTCAATTTGGCTGTTGCCATTTTCTTTGTGGTGTCCTGTTTTGTTTTCATGTTTGGTAGTTTGGATTGGTTGGGTTGTTTTAGTTTTGGGTTGCTCTACCTGGGTGTTGATGTTTTTTTGGGTGTTTGTGGTTGGTTTTTCACCAATTTTGATGGTATGCTAGCATATGATTGGGCGATCTTATTGATATCAACCTAGTTGAGATTGATTTGGTTCGCTATAATGTTTTTTGCACTGATCCTTCTTTCTTCTTATATTGTTGTATTAATTTCTTTTGCATCAATATAATTATTTCTTTGCTGATAAAAAAAAAAAAAAATTGTATAATTCATGGTAAACAATAAGCAACAAAAGATAAAATAAAATAAAATAAAATAGTAAGAACTTGTTATAAATGATATGTTCAGCTATAGAAGTATAATACAATAATTTAAATAGACGAGGGTTCTTCAATATACTCTTAAATATTATAATAAACTGTAGAAAGGAAAAATACATCCAACACTCAGTCCAGTGGCACCTGGCCATACATAACAACTAAATACAGTTGTTTGTTTGTAATATATAGGCATATAGGCATCTTGGTTTAAGTAGCTCCCTAGTATTTCTCAGCACATGGGGTAGCACAAATCCATCACCTAAAACAATACCATTTTTGTTTCATTATGTACAGCAACCTGTATCAATACCCCTTCTGTCATATATATATATATATTTTCTAGATAGTACTGCTAAAGTATGCTTTATTACCACAGATCAATTGGGCAAGTAGAGGTGGATACTGACGCAAAATCTGAAACGACATCTTGGCTCTTGGAATCATTGACTAGCATGTTCATGTGTTCAACTCCACCCACTTGAAATGAAGCTTTGTTTGAGTAATTATGATCCTTAGACGAATCTTCGTGGCTGAGTTGAGACGCAACAAATTTATCAAGTACTCGCCAATCGGTCAATTGATCCACTGCTGCTTGCTCATTGTTACTGTAAAATAAGTTCATATTTTGCTGATTGCTTTGCTGCAATGGTTCTTCTTGTGCGGGTGTTGATAACTGCAAAGAGCTTCCATTGTTCCTATTGAGACCATACGGCACCACTGAGTTGCAGCTTTCAGTGACAGTAGGCTGCGAAATTTTTGGACTTTCTAAATGAGGAAGCTGGAGGAAGGGGTCATGAGGCATATTGTTGTACTGCAATTCATGCTCTTGCTTGAAGGAATAATGGTGATGGTATGAAGTATAAGACTGAGATATCTGCCTTGGTGATTCAAAATCAGGCATGAATGAGACTTGATCATCATACCAACAAGGTGACTCATGCTCACCCATTTTGCGAGTTGTGGCCATTCGCTTCTTGAAGACCCTACAGACAACCCATCCTTCTTCCTGTTTGAATCGCCGCAATATCATTAGGCATAACTATATGTTCTCATCAAGACAAGTGTTTTACTGAATCATATTAGCACATGATAAAAATGCACTAATACAGGATTTGTCATTTATGAGACTAGCAAGAAGTAATAAACATATTAATGGAGTACACATTTCACAGTAGCAATCTCTAATGCTATGTTTGGTTGGGAGATTTGAAAAGAGATTTGGAAAGAAAAATAGAAAAGGTAGGTGAAATGTGAATAAAACATACTTATATTTTACCTAGTTTCACACACATTTTTTCTTTTCTTTTCCAAATCCCTTTCCAAATCTCCTAATCAAACACAGCGTAAAGATGAGGAGAACCCATTGATTTGATTGCTAACAACAAGCTAATGAAAATTTTAAAGATGCAAATCATTGTTTGTCACTAATATATAGTAACTCTTTTTTCTACATAACTCAACCAAATTGGAAAGATGGACAATAAACAATTCATGATACTTTTAATGCAATCTTCATTCAATAAAAAAAAAGTAGTGATTTTTCGTTTATTCTATTTTTTTTTTTTTTTACTTGATCAAAAGACTGCTGTATGTGAAATTCTGTAGCAATACATGCATGACTTGATAAATCAACCAAATTGGAAAGATGGACAATAAACAATTCATGACACTTTTAATGCAATCTTCATTCAATGAAAAGCTAAGTAGTGATTTTCCCTTTATTCTATTTTTTTTTTTTTTACTTGATCAAAAGACTGCTGTATGTGAAATTGTGTAGCAATACATGCATGACTTGATAAATCAAAAATAGTATAAACATTAACTACGGACAAATAAAATGTAGGACAAGATTGTACAGCATGTATGCACATTTAGGGCAGTCAAAAATGAGTGTTTGTCAAGAGAGATTTTATGCTTTAATAGGCCAAGCAATATATTAAGCAAAGTACACATAGTTAGTACTTGCCTGAGAAGTCCCAATTTCATTTGTTTCTAGCCTATACTCATGCATGATCCAGTCTGACTTTTGTCCATTTGGTGCTCTACCTTTATAAAACACCAAGGTCTTTCTCATGCCAACCAAGCTATGCTTAGCATATATCGCCTTGTCTCTTCCTGTAGCCTTCCAAAATCCCGCTTTCGTAGCTCTATTGGTGCGAGTTCCAGTTGGATATTTCTTGTCTTTATGGCTGAAGAAATACCAGTCACTCTGTTCCTCAGTGCCAATCTTGCAAAGTTCTGTTCATGCTCATTGAGAAGAAAGGGCAAATGAAGAAATGAGAAGCCAATATGATGAGTCATGATATCTTGAGAATGCTAAAAGAATAATATGTATATGTATGAATGTTTGTATCCATATACATGAAGGATCATTTGTCTAAATCGCTCTACTTCCATATTACTTGTCTTAAAACATTCACAATTACGGTGTCGTTTGGCAAACTTGATTTTTTGACCTTTTTAGTTTGAGATTTTTTTGTTCGTTTGGTTTTCTTATTTAGTTTTTTTGACTTTTGTGCATTAGAATGACAAAATTGTCCTCCACTTGAAATGATGTTTTTTTCACTTTTTGTTTATATATGGGTTAATTTGATAATTTTACATTAAAAGTTAAGTGTTTTGTCATTTTGTGATTTTTTGACTTTTTTTTATCCTTATGTACTTATTTAGTCCCAACTCAAAAACCAAGCCTTGTACGAGAATACCAAGTTATAAAAAAATTGAAATGTGCAACGGTTAAAAAAAATCTGTCTTTTTGTTTTGAGTATTTCAAAACAAAAACAAAAAGACAGATTTAGGACAAAGGGTCTCAATATGAAAAATAAATGCTACCTTGAAGATCCCATGGCTCAATTTTGTAAAGATCAACTTCTTTAATGACGTCTAGATCAATTCTTCTTGAAGCAACTTTTTTTCTAAGGTAGTAATCGACAAGTTCTTCATCCGTGGGATGGAATCTAAAGCCTGGAGGGACATGCGAAAAAGTATTCATACTCTCCCAAGTGCAATTAAAAACCTGCATTTTCAGTTGAACTTCTTATCAGCCATTTGAAATATCGCATGTAATGACATTTTTTTTTTGTTTTTTGATCGGTAAAAAAAGAAACTTTATTGATGGAATAAACAAGTACAAGGAACAAGACAAATTACATTAATAAAGGAAATGGAGGTGCAAAAGTATCACAATGAACTAAATGATCCCAACTAGGTTGGCACCACAAAGTTCATCCTATCAATTGCTAGCACCCCAAAGTTAGTGAGAGACCAACGAAAAAAGAACAGACCAGAGCAACTATCAATTGCTAGCACTCCAAAGTTAGTGAGAGACCAACAAAAAAAGAACAGACCAGAGCAACTGAGATAAAACAACCAACCAAGTTATTCATGTGATGACATAAAAGACCAATTTTCTTAATTTGCAGTGAATTGGGATTTGAATGTTATTATGAAACTAAGTTATAATAAATAACGTGTTTGTTTATATGCACATATATTCACGTGCAACATCACTCGTAAGGAAGTGAATATTTTACTTTGTTCATGTGAATTTTCTTTCGTCAATTTAGTGTTTCATATTGAGACACACAGTTTTCAAAGTTTAAATATAGAGATGGACTACTATCGTAGCCTAGTGTAACTTGCTATCAAGAAAATAAAATTTGTTTATATAATGTTGGACGACAATATGCCTTAAATCACGAAAAGAGTCAGCTTCATGCATTTAAATCTAGTAAACAGCAATGTAATATATAGGGATTACGACACGTAGTACATACAAACATTATGCCTAAAAATAAGCCTAAACCTAAGCCTAAATATATGTAACAAAGGTCAAAGAAGGGTTAATTAAGGAGGCTGTTTAACAAATTAACTACAATAGTTCAATCTACTTACATCTCTAAAGAGACATTCAAGCTTGGCAATGGTTTCAATTCATGATATATCATGCACATAATGAAAACTTACTCAATTTCAATATTTTTCAACAATCAAAATTCTGATGGTGTTGGATTATATACTTTACTAGAAAATCAGTACATTTTGAAAGCCAAAGAACAAATTTAAGAAAAGTTAACTCGTCACTCGTGTGTGTGTGTGTGTGTGTGTGTGTATATATATATATATAGAGAGAGAGAGAGAGAGAGAGAGAGAGAGAGAGAGATACTGGATGAGCTGATGGAACTACTCAAGTTTGCTTTTGCTTGAGGCATGAAACTGGTAAACAAAAAGGTGTTAAATTTCTCCACTCATAAAAGTGAATGATAGTTAAGAATGCGTAATCAAAATTCAATAACTTTACTTTTCGACATTCAAAGATCGAGCACTCAAAAATACAAAAACAAATCAGGGAAATATGAAACTTATGGCTCATCGTATGTATATCTTCAATAGCTCTTGCGGTTGATCCATTGAAACCTTTCATAGTTATACTAAATAAGTATAGCATCCATAAACAAGGACAAGGGCATACAGTTTAAATTGTTTTCAGCAATTTGGCACTTAGCCTTGATGGTTTCAAATCACTGAAAATCAAACAATCCTATTTGCTTTTTCTAGGTATTTTATTCTTAATATGTTCTTTATTAAAAAAATGAAATTCATTAACATTTAATGTGTGTGAGATCTGACTAGAAGACTCAAAATCAAGAGAAAAGCTATATATCTATGAGAGTTAAAGAAGAACAAGAAGAAAATATAATTGAGAATCAGACTTATTTTTCTTACTACAACATAGTTTACATGATTGATAATTTAAAACAAAGAATATTAGGCTTCCTTTGAGAGAAATGAACATAGAAAATGAACAATCAAGAACCCATCTTGGACATGAAAAAATAATTTGCAATGGTTCATAAAGTTACAGAAATGGATGATATACAAATCTATAAAACCAGAAAAGGAAGATTAAAACCCTTAGATGATTCAACCATTCCATATGTCGAAGTCATCCATAGTTAATCTTCTTGAGAAAAATATTGTAATTGCAACCAAAATATCCTTAAAAACTGTAGTTGATTCTTTTTAAACACCAAGAACTCACAAACATGTGGGAATTATGATAAATGAAAAAGTAAAACCAACCCAGAAACAAGAAGAAGAAGAAGAAGATAATTAACACAAAGCTTTGATAATCATCTACAGTATACGTACCCTATCCAAATCCAAGTGAAACTTGTTGGTCAGATCTGTTTGGAGACAAGCTTATTTACATCAATCAGTGAAGAGATTAGGAAACTTTTTGAAGCTATCTCTTTTGTAACTTTTAAGCCCACTGAACCAGACAAAAAAGGAAGCCAAACAGTTGGAAGACAAAAAAGTTCACCTCGGGAATTGAACTAAAAGCCCAGAAACTGTTTTTGTACTCTCAGAAAAACACACAGTCTTGTGGTTGTCAAGAAAGAAAGATCAGATCTTAAAAGCAAGAAAAGGGAATGAAAAGAAAAGAAAAGGTTTGAGGAATAGAAAACAAGAAGCAAAGAAAAATGAATGAGCTAATTATCTCATCTCATGCCAAAACTATACCCTCCCCCTCTCTCTCTCTCTCTCTCTCAATTACATATATATCAATATCTGTACATTATGAGGTAATCTAATTGAGTGGGAGCTGGATTACTGGGAAAGATTTGCGGGAAAAAAGGGGGGGAGGAGGAAAATGGTGGCGGTGAACTTCGACCACCTTCCCACCAGAAACTGATAGAGACCAGAAACTGAATCTGTAATACTATTTAATGTTGTTTCTCCTCTCAGAGCTTGCCGGAGAGTGTTTTGAGAGAGAGAGAGAGAGATGGCCAGTGAAAGAGAGAACCAAACGGTGTTCGTCAGCAATCCGACGGCATAGATCACTTGGACCTTTTTAAAGGCCCCACCCGACCAAAAAGAATGTTTTCTTTTAATTAATTATTATTGTTCCTTTTTTTATACATCTCGATCTCGGTTGATATTTTAGGGTCTAAATCGAATTGCATTCAATGGTGTGAATAGAAACAAATGTGAAACGGGTAAATACAAGTTTAAATTTTTTATTTTATTTATAAATTTAATGATATCATAATTTATTATAATATTTAAAATAATTTTTTTATATATTTTTTAATTGTTAACTAAACTTATTTTTTTATACCTTGTTAGATTTAGAAAATAAGTGTAAAATGTAAATTTATATATTATTTTTCATAAAAATTCTCTCAATTTTCCTTTGAGAGGAGTTTTGATTAGCTTGCCTCATGTCACATCAATTTACATTGTTTTTTTTAATCGCATAGTTGTGGGTAGTCGCTGATGGATTGAAATTAGGATTAGAATTTAAAAAATAGAAAAGACAAAAGCATGCTTTAGATTTAGTTATAAAACTGATAAAGATTGGATTAATTTACAATAATGGTATCATAAGAATTCAAAAATACATAAAAACTTTCATAGAAAAAAGGATCGAAACCTCCATAGAGGATTAGAAAATGCTCTCACAAAAGGACGGAAACAAACATCCACACAGTAAGGATTATTACGTCAACAAATTAAGGTTGTATTTAGTTTAGTTTTGGAATTATGATTCTTTTTTTGGAGTTGTAATTTGAATATAAAATTGTGAGTTGAGTTTGAAACGAGAAAATTTGTTTGGTTATAAGTTTTGAAAGGAATTTTGGAAACAGTTTTTGAATTTTGAATTTTAAAAAAAGTTTAGAGTTGTATTTTGAATTTTGTGGATTTATCTTTTTAATATTAAAAAATATTTAAGAAATTTTTTTTAATTAAAATATATAATTTTTATTTAAATATTTTAATTTTTTTATTTTAAACATTTTATTTTATTTTGTATATATTTTAATTTTTAATTTTAATATTTTAAACTCAAAACACAACTTTCTTTTCAAGTATCCTAGAGGGAACAAGTCATAATTTTGTGACTGTTGCATCGGTATTTGGGTTCTTCTTACCGTAATGGGCTTGATCTCCTTAAAGAAAACGAGATATCCATACCTCAGCCTGATCTATTTGTATCTCATTTTCTTTGCATTATTTATCAATAAAATATTTTTTTCTGGTATTCTCATCTCTGATGTAGATGAGTTACATTCTTTTGTGTATTTTATTGAGAAAATTATAATTCAAAGGGGATTTTTAAAAATTATTATATATTAGTGAAAATGTTTATCATTTTATTTATTAATATTTATAATGTTTATTATTATTTTGTAAATAATTTTTCTAACTATCACTGGTGAGTAATTTTCCTTACTTTATTATTAATAAAATATTGACACATTAAATAATAAACTAATGAACTAAAATCATGATTCTAAAAATAATTTTTTTAAAAAAATAAAAAATATTTTTTTGAATTTTTTCTTTTAAGATAGAGTTTTGAAAAGAGTTTAGTTTTAAATTTTGAAAAAAGATTTAAATTGAGTTTTAAGTTGTGTGTTTAGTTATGAATTTTGAAAATTGATTTGAAAATTTTGTTTTTGGAATCAAACACAGCCTACAAATTCTGAAATAATCAAATCAAAAAAATTATATTGAAGTCGTCACCAAACTCATTCAAAATTTCATTGTGGTGTTTTCGAAAATTGGTAAAAAGCTGGCTTTTGATTTTTTTAGCCAAAAAGGCTTGCTTTTTGGGTTGTAACTTGAGTAAAAAAATTAGTTTTTTTGGCTAAAAAAGCTAAAAGCTAGTTTTTGCTAGCTTGCCAAAGCAAGTCCGCAACTTTTAACTTGGAATTTGAAGACCCTACCTCCGCTAGTCACAATAGAATATTGAGGTTGAGATGGTCACCTAACGTGAAACAAATGTGCTATCCAACGTCGGCCTTCGGATTGTGAGAAGATATAAAGTCATATCTTAAAATTTTGGGCTCTAGAGTAAAGAAAGTAAGGCAATGATGGCTAGATTAGTGAGCCAAACATCATATTTGGAGGAGGATTGAAAAAAGGGAGATGAAAGAGATGAGAGAAGTGGAAGAACCACCACCGTCTCATTCTCTCTTTGGAGGAAAAGCATTTTAATATTATTTAAAATAACTGAATATGATATAAACATGATATAAACAGATTAAGAATCTCTTCATTCTATAATTGTAATGGAAGATGTTTATTATATCATTTAATTATTGTGAAATATTAATGAAAATTTATTAATATTTTAAATTTTTTTAAAAAATCATTACAAACCCTTAGATAATATAATATACATATTTCATTTCAACTTTGAAATAAATTGCTTTCATTTAATTTAGTTGGGTTAAAAAAACACAAAAGATAAAATAAGTTAAATAAGTTAATAAGATAAAATGTCACATTTAAACCATAATAATTTCATTTTTCTTACACAAAAGTCAAAAAAGCTAAATCAAACAAACCTTTTAATCTCAAACTAAAAAAGTCCCTACTCAAAAAAACTAACTAAAAAAAGTCAATACCAAACGACGACTAAGGCCTCGTTTGGGAACATGCTATTTTATTAACTTTTTAATTTTTTAGCTAAAATTTGAGGTAAAAAAAACTTATATGTTTGGAATGATTTTTTAATTTTTTATGAAAAGATATGCAAAAATTAGAGAGAAAATTAAATCTTTGACTTTTTCATATATGTTATAAGTTTTTTTTTTACTTTTTTTAATAATTTTTTAATTTTTAAACTAAAATTATTACTTGCCAAACGAGATCTAAGTAGATAATGTAAATTGAGAGAATTTGAGGTGTGTACATAGAAACTCTCCCGTTTGAATGTCCTTTTCTCACTGCAATTTGAAAAATGTTTGAGGGCCACAAAAACAGTGGCTCAAATGGCTCAAAACTTTCAAAACGACGTCGTTTTGGCAGGTTTTGCTCCCCAAACGACGTCGTTTTGACAGTTTTGAGCCATTTGAGCCACTATTTTTGTGGCCCTCTACCATTGCTGCCTACTCAAAAAAACTAACTAAAAAAAGTCAATACCAAACGACGACTAAGGCCTCGTTTGGGAACATGCTATTTTATTAACTTTTTAATTTTTTAGCTAAAATTTGAGGTAAAAAAAACTTATATGTTTGGAATGATTTTTTAATTTTTTACGAAAAGATATGCAAAAATTAGAGAGAAAATGAAATCTTTGACTTTTTCATATATGTTATAAGTTTTTTTTTTTACTTTTTTTAATAATTTTTTAATTTTTAAACTAAAATTATTACTTCCCAAACGAGATCTAAGTAGATAATGTAAATTGAGAGAATTTGAGGTGCGTACATAGAAACTCTCCCGTTTGAATGTCCTTTTCTCACTCCAATTTATATTGTGTGACCACGAACATACAAGTTGCTACCAAAATGAAATAAAGGTACTGAATAGATACTAGAGAAATGAAGTCGACCTTTTCAAGATTTAAAGAAAATATAATAAATATTATAAATTCAATATAATTATTTTAATTTTTTTTATTTTAATTCACATAATATTTGGTCACTTTTTTATTAGAAATGGTCAGTCATATAAAAAATGACATTATTATTTTTTAAATTAAAATATATATTTTTTTAACATCTGTATTAGTTTCGATTATTTTAATTTTACTAAAATAAAAACACCAATATAATTATATTAAAATTATAAAATTATCTATATATGTATATTTTTTTTAAATTCAAGAGGTACCAATCAGTATGTTTAGTTTTAATTTTCTGAATTCAGTTTTTTAAAAATTGAGTTTTTTTATTTTTTATGTTTTTTTATTTTTATTTTTAGGGAATATTTTTGAAATTTTAAGAATTTTTTTTACTTTTTTAGATGCATCTTACTTAAATGTATCTAAATAGTAAATTATTTGTGAAAAAATATTTTAACAAATTAATAAATACATAAAAATATGAAAAATGTACTGAATTTATTTATTTTTTATGTATTTTTGATATTTAGTGATTTTTTTAAAGATTTTTTTCACAAATATTATAATTTCTAAATGTATTTATATTAGGTGTGTTTAAAAATTAAAAAAATTACTTAAAATATTAAAAAAATTCAGTAAAAATAAAAAAATACGAAAAATGAATAAGTAAATTTTTTTTTAAAATAAATTTTGAAAACTGAAAACAAAGTAATGTGTTTATGTTTTTTTATTGTTTTATTTATTTCCACTGAACTAAAATTTTCTACTGTTTTCATATTTACGACCCGTAAACCATGGCAGCGGCACTGAATTGTAGACCCCACAAACCGACCCAATCGAATACGAGAGAGACACTTCTCCAAATACAAACTTTTGTTTATTTATTAATAATTAAAATTTTAAAAACATATAAAGCCCAATAGCTCGGCGGCTTCAACCAGTCGCTTCGACCTGAAGCCGGTACTGTGTATAGACTCTGTGTGGTGGAGAGTGGGGCCCGAAGGAAGGGAATGATTTTCGGCGGCTGACTGTCCGGCGTGGGCTAGCCTTTGATCATTAAGGCCCACACAAACAAATTCCCTTCATTGCGAGCCCGGTTGTGGACGGTGGGCCCACACACACCGTTATGCCGTTCTTGCTAATTGTGCCCCACACACGAGGCCAGTCCCTTTTTTGCCGAGGAAGCTGATACATCCCGTACTGCCACGTGGATATATTGTCTTATTTATCCTTAAATAAACTAGCCGTTACATATTATTTAAATAAGTAAAAATAAAATAAAATATTTATTATTTATTGTGTTATCCAACCGATAAGAGTTTTTTTAACGGTGGTACTACATGCATAAATTAGTATGCACATTAATATACTAATTAGTATTATGATATCATTAATGACTCTATTTATTATACAAATTATAAATAATAAAAACTTTTAAAATTATATTATATTATT